AGCCTTTGCCCATTCTTCCGATGCCATCTTCCGCTCCTGTCGCTTCCCTCCCCCGCAACGGCCGCGACTTCGCCCAGGCGACTGAAACGGCCTCGCTGAGACGCGGCTCGGCTTTCGGCTCGGCCTCCCCGGACCTTAGCGGCCCGCTTTAAAGCGGCCCCGAACGGCCCGGCCATGCAGGTGAGAAATTTGGAGGCATCTCTAAACACTTTGTGTCATCAGCATTCTCCAATTTTCGGGGGCACTGCCGCCGCAGGACGGCTCTGACATCCTCGGCCGCTTGAAGTCGAACGACCTTGGGCTTTGCCAGGGCTAGGGCTTGGGCTAACTTCATAAATTTCGGCGTGAGGATCTACAGCGGACGTTCTCCAACCGACCACCGCGTCCCTCCGTTGGGCTGCCGCTGACGGCCTTGCAAGCTACACAAATCCAGGCGCGAAGGCCGCAGTTTTCAGGCTTTTCCGGTAGTGAGAGATGTGCCAGGATGGTCCGCAGACGCTTGCGCCTACGTCTCTGATGTCGAGCGATCTCGGCCTGGCGGAGCCTGGGGCAGCTGTGGCTAATTTACCGTGGCCAGTATCTTCGCTCCCTCCCAGAGAGCGCTCAGCGTGTCCTGCAGGCCGTAGATTTCACAGTCAGACGGTGGTACCACAAGCAAGAAGCTGCATCACTTGATCTGGAGCGCCTGATTTGCCGGGCAAGGCTTGGACTTGTCGACTTCACGCACAGGAAGCCACCTCGTCTCACCCTCTCCCTCTCCGATCCCTCGGCATCTGACGTGGGACCGTCACAACTTTGGGCCGGCCAGCGAGATGTTGCGTCAAGTTTCGGGCACGCTTTAGGAGTCTGGCATTTGCGAGTCTTGCGGTCAGCGAGTTCTACCGGCCGCAATCGAGGCCGGCGTCTCGGGCAGCCCCGCAGACGCAGGGTCGGACGCTCTCTGATCAAGAACAGTTCCTGGTCAAGAAACAGACAAATGCATTGAAGCTAATGGGATGCTCCTTTCTGGTGCGATCTCGTGTTGCCCTAGAAAAGGTCTGGAATTGTCGGCAACCTACCATAAAAGACACCAAGCGAGATCCAATATGGTGGTTGCAAGTGAGACCTTGATGCAAACTGAACGGAAAGTATGCGGAACTGTGGGCATGGGTGGGCATATAGGCCACTCTCTCACCGCAAAAGTACGGCGGAGGGCTGAAGACACGTCTTTGTCACTGGTCCTTCTTTGCCAAGATGCAGAATGCGATGTCCTTATGCTCAATCAAGCACAGCAAGCACCGGTTCTCAGCCTGGGACGACAAGGAATCCTTCATCCCGCCGTCTCTAGGAGCATCCCAGTCGCTCCGAACAATTTTTCCAGCATGCACACAAGACAGGATGGCCATTTTGCCTGAGACATCGCTGCCGGCTGACACCTCTGCAAAACTCGGCAATCCTGGTCACGAGTTGCGACAGAACTGAGGCCGCTGTCCCGTAACAGAGCAGCAGGCTGAAGACTCGGCTTTGTCGAGAAGCCGATGCTGATGCTTCTCACCAGTGTTTTTAAGCAGAAGCTGGTCCGATGCGATCATCGAAAGCTGGCCGCCAGAGGTGGCACACGCTCATGAGAAACTCATGAGATCTCGAAAGTTCCCGACACTCGACCTCGCTCGCGGGCAACGGATGGGCGCATCGCACCGATCCGGCTCAGCGAATGTCACAGAGGGACGGCCGGCTGGCTCATGTTGGTAATTCAGAGCCTAGCTGCCCTTCTCCGATGTCTCTGCTCGTCTCGAGACCGGAAGCAGTCGCAGTTTGTCCGGCTGCGTCAAGCACTGGACGAGATCGCACGGGATCCTCTGAAGCCTTGACTTTTTCCTCCAGGGCTGCCAGCGCGCAGAGGAGCCTTGTCTGACCGCGGCATGTGTAGCACTGGCACCTTGTGTCTGCCTGCTTTTCTTGTCGCTTTGGACAGGGCTTTAAGGCGCTAGCCAGAAAGTGGGGGGGGCTTTTGATCAGCGGCCGAAACCCCGCTCACGGCGACGCAATGCAGGCGCCAGGGTGACCCGGGTGCATGCTAAAGGCAGTGCAGAAGCCATGCCAGGCACAGAAGCCAGCATGCACTGCATGCACTTTTTGCCTGCTGACCATGCGCTTTTTGACCTTCGTGGAGCAGGCGAACGCGGGCTGCAGCTCTGTTCCCTCCCGTCCGTCCCTTTGGAGGGCTGGAAGACGTGTGAGCCAAGCTGTTTTAGCCGGGGATGTGCGGCGATGTTGCTCTTTGCTGTTCGTTCTGCTGGTCGAGAGACTGACTGAGTGTTCCACTCCTCGGTGCACAATGCTGCTGTTCCTGGACTGCACCGCTGGATGACTGTTCTCAGACTCAGTCTCGTCTTTCAGCTCCGTCGTCTTGGCTCCTGCACGAAACCAGAACACTGGCATGCAAGCATGCGAAAAGGCACGGGCGGGCGGAGGATAGAATCGGCAGGGAGGTGATTGCAGAATGAGGCATACGTAGCAGCGGCACATCGCAGGCTTCTTCCGCGCTCAGTCAGTGCTATGGCTGCACACCACCAAAGCCATGACTTCAGGTCCGGCACTTTCGGCATCCAGCCCGGAAAGTCTGGGACTCCGGCAGTGTGAGCTTGATGAAGGACAGCAAACAGCATCGAAGAAGATGAAGGTTGTGGCACGGCCAGCCAGATGACACGGTGTGCACGCGCAGTGCAGCCGCACCCTCCTGCACCCTCCAGAACCATAAGCAGCCGTCGCCGCAGCTCCGGAGTCAGCGTGCAAGGCAGCAGATGTTGCAGGTCATGAGCTTTAGGGTCGCAGAAGTTCCACAAGTCCCACTCAGGATAAGGGGGTGCAGGCACAGGAGAAATTCCTCGAGGGCTCCGGCATTACCGCCTCGCTTTCGACACAAAGGACTCGACTGACACGTCCGTCAAGCTGATATGCCCTTGCAAAAGAAGCAGGACTTGCATCGTTGTTGGACAATTTGCCGTTCCGCCCCCAGCTAGATCGCTGATCTGAGGTCTCGCAAGGCCTTTAGATTTCGGCCTTGAGATTGTTTGCCAAGCTCGCAAGAGGTCGAAGCTCTGGGTCTCGTTCCGGGCTGCGGCGTAGGCTGTCGCATCGTCCGGTGTCGGGCACCTGGCAGCTGAGACTTTCCTCTGGAGTGCTGTGCCGAAGCAACATCGAGGTAGACGGCGTCCAGCTAAAGGTGCAGAATTTTGGCAGTGTAAGCAGTAGACCGGTTGCATATCGCTGCGGCCACTTGGCGGGAGTCATGCGCAGCTTGATTAGGCTTCGGTTGAAGAATCGTGTAGCACCAGATCTACGGATCTGCATCACTCAGCCTGCTCGGTGTGCTCCTGTGCGTTCTAGGGATCCGGGCTAGTCCCAAGAAAGCGAGTGATACTAGTCGGAGGATTCGCTGGCAGTAAGAAACAGTGGCAGAGTCTGTGGTGTCCCCGAAGCCAACTCTTTTTGCCTCGGCCGCGGCCTTCCTTGGCCAGCCTTGGTCAGTGCCCAGCCATGACGGCTTGATTGAGGCCTGATTCACAAAACCAGCTAATCAACCTGAGCTTCCTTCTTCCGAGGATGGTCAGCGGGAGATCCTGTGCAGCTCAAGCCTCCGCCGGCCTCAGAGTGCAACAGGAAGCCTTGAACTACACGAAGCCTTCCCCTACGGCGCCTTTTTTTCGTCTTGTCGGCAGCTACAAGAAACCACAAAGTTGGCGAGTGCCTTGCCGCGGTGCTGTAAAGTCGCTGTGCCGAAGGATCCGGAGAAACTTGAGGCTCCATCCATGCAGCCCTCAGAGGCGTCGGGACGTAGAGCGTAAGAGTGGCTGAGTAGTTCGCCAGTTCACGAGATGAGTTGCCTATGGCAACGCGTCTGCCTCGGCTTCAGCGATGTTTTGGCAGGCAGGGCCGATGGCGGAAGCGCTGAGACTGCGCTGGTCTTGGGTCCCGGCGGGCGGCTCGGCGGGCGGGGGCTCCCCGTGCTCACATGGCGGTGCATCGGGAAGTTGGGCGGTCTGGTCGGTCTGGTCTCGGAGCCGGTGCTGGTGACTGGCTGCCGACTGGTGGGAAGTTCGGCAAAGCCCGCATCCAAGGCGAGGCGACGTGACCTGAGAGGCCCGCCGGGCCATCATTTCGGTCGCTTCAGACTCGGATCCGACGATGAGTGACACTTTGAGGCCGGAGCAGTGCCCCCCACAAATTACTCGAGGTGTTTGGAGCTCTTCCACACTCGTTTCCCCGGCTTGGCGTAGTGGCCTAGTCCTGCGGCGCACAATGGCGCACATCTTCAGGCCTGAAGACTGCTGCTCCCAACATCTCCCAACCTCCGTGTTAGTGTCATCACCACTAGTGGGGCAACTGCACAAGACTCTGCCATGGCTTCGCGGCTTACGGCCGTTGAGGAAGAAGCTCGTTGGCACTTTGGGTGTGTGCTCCGTGTAATCAGCGGAAACCTTCCAGTAAGTCACAAGCCGGCTGCAGGTTGCGGCTGGCCAGCTGTACATCTCGTCGCGCACAAATCGCCATGGCCGAAGTACAAGTTTCCGATCGCCGAAGTGGCCATTCTAGCATATCTAGCAGTCGACTCTGGATTTTTTGTTGAAGCGCCAGCCTGCAGCACAGGCATGCACACATGCTGCAAGAAGTGCTCCCTCGGGCTTGGTTTTGCCGGGCTCTGCAAGAGGTCATCACCACACATGTCTGCGAGACACAAGCCGGGCAGCCGGACACGATGGCACCGTCCTCCTGCCCATCCAATGGGAAGCAAACGCGGTGGCTGCAGTACCACTGTCTCCGTAGTTGCTTTTCCACGCAGCCGGTTAAACCAAGAAGAGGAATTACACTGGAGCCTACCAGTGGATTCATTCATGCATCGCATCGCGCCGAGGCTTCGCCAAGCTGTGCTCAGGCAGGAGCCCAGTCTGTTCTTAACCTGCAAGTGAGCTTCATTCCAATACAATCCCAATAGTACATCAACACCTCGAAGGCCGATTCTAGGTATGAACTGACATACAGGGCACGCGCACGCGGGAGTTCACGGAGGCGATGTCGGCGAAGGCCCAGAAGAATGGCGGAAACAAAGTCCGGTGCACCTCAAGCCTCAGCCGCGGTATCGACACTCCATGTGGCCATGTGACTTGCTCCTTGCCGTAGGCGATACTCTGATGCCTCTGTTGCTGACAGGGGTCGTGCTTGGAGACGACCAAATTGGCGATACGGATGCGATCGTGCCCGAATTCAACCGAGAGCCGGGCAGTTGCCCCAAGCCCCCACAAGCGGCGTCCGCTCAAGTCCTGAGCTCCTGAGCTCCACTGATCGTTGCTCAGATCTGCAGCTGTCGCTAGTCTCGGCAAAGTTGCTTCCTGCATTTTTGTTCCAAAGCGCAGTCATGCACGACCGTCTAATTTCCCAAACCGTGAACCTCCAACCACATGCCTCACCTGGATTGTCCGAGTGTGAGCGCCGAACCTCCAAGCAGACGTACTCATGTCCTTCGATGGTCAGCAGCTCACGTGACAAGTGCAGTTTGCGCGATGTGTCGAACATTTTCCAGGCTGAACTCTCCACACCAGATGAGCACACCAATTAGCAACACTCGCACGCCTGAGTGCCTCGACATGCCATCGGAGATGACCCGAGGTTGGAAGATTGCCTGGCAACGTAGTGTTGGGTGTTTCGTAGCCTGTGCCTCCCGATGGCTAACATGCTGCCGAAATATGAACGAATGGCGCCGGCTCAACATCCATGCGTTCGAAGATCTTCGCAGGTTTTGCTGGTTGCCTGGCAATGAGATGTGTTGAAGTTCTCCACAAGCCGCTTTTCTCGCCGGCCAAAGTGCCTCCTCCGAGAGGAGCACACAAGTGTACGTGACTTTGGCTCCACATCCATGCCTCTGTCTTCGAAGGCTTTGCTGGTTGCTTTGCAATGAGATGTGTTGAAGCAATTCTCGACGGCTACAGTGCCTCCGAGAGGAGCACACCAGTCCACGTGACTTTGGCTCCACATCCATGCCTCTGTCTTCGAAGGTTTTGCTGGTTGCTTTGCAATGAGATGTGTTGAAGTTCTCCACAAGCCGCATTTCTCGACGGCTGAGAGGAGCACACCAGTCCATGTGACTGGTTCTACATCCATGCCTCCGTCTTCGAAGGTTTTGCTGGTTGCCTTGCAATGAGATGTGTAGAAGCTCTCCACAGGCCGCACAGGCTGCAGAAGTGCTTCACGTTTCGACGGACGAGATTAGCACGCAAGTTCGCGACACATGAGCAACACACCTGCCCTTGACTGCCTCCCGGCTCCTCAGCTACGCCTTCGAGGATCTGCAAAGGTCGGCCAAGGCGTGGGGAGCATGGTGTGCCTGTATGTGCCTGTCATGGGGAGCGAATGATAATGCAGCAGCAGCTTTTGGCATACGTCCAAAGCTTTTTGCGACTTGACTTGACCGCACTCGACAATCGTGCCCCAGGCCGTTGAGAATCTAAACCTGTATCAGTGTCTACATGGATTGATGCACACGAGCTGCGATTGCTTTGGCCGTTGACTGCAAGCACACCCACTTGTCTTTACCTCGCCTGCTGCGCTACCATGCGACTGTGCTTCTACTAGTGGCTTTTCTGTTGCTGTTACGACACGGGCTTTGCGGTTCCCTTCTCTTCGCTGCAGCCATTTTTTAAAAGCTTGTGAACATCCAAGGGCAGAGATCCCAAATCTGTGACGCCGGAAGCCCACGAAGCCCGAGGCTCCAGGCCCTAGGTCCTACTGGCAGCCTCGACCCCGATACAGACGTTGTCCATCGCATCTTCACCTAAGAACTCCGAATTTTGCAGCCCAGACTTGAGTCTTCGTCCTTTCTGCAAGACCACCAGAAGCCTTCACACAAAACCTTGCCATAACTCTGATGAGCTCCATGAAACCTGAAGTGATTTCCTTTCTGAACCATCGCATTGGCAGGGGTGGGAGGGGGGTTTTCATGTCCTTCGCTGCTTCGACCCTTGTGCCGGGCCCTCGCATGAGGGTTTAGAGTTCGTGTTTTGAGGGTTTAGGGTTTGGGTTGGTGCTCTGGGATCTGGCTTGCCGTTAGAGGGTTTTTGTTGGGTATCAGGTGGTTGAGTGCTTGGGCATGCACAGGGTGAGGCTTCACGGTCAAGATCTAGGGTCGATCGTTTCGAGTTGCAGTCCTGGCTGGGGACTGTAGGGCATGATGTTCTTCCAACTTCCTACTCGAGTCTGCTCCGAGCTGACGCGAGCTGGTACGGGGCTGGGCAGAAAGGACAGACGTTCGTGGGATTATTATGAGGAGGAGATGATGCGTTGCGGATTTGAAAGCTGAATCCGCCGGTTGTAAAGACTTGAAGACCAAACTCCAGGCCCTTTGATGCTGTTCCTGTGATTCCATGGTGATGCATCGCGGGGTTTGGTTCTGCCTTCCGGTTGTTTTGCTTTTGTCTTCCTGGTGGCCGGGGTTCTTGCGATGTGTCGTCCTTACGGTCTAAATTTTGGGGTTTAGGGTTTAGGGGACCGGTCCATCTCCGTATCGTGACGGCTACAGGGACGAAGACAATGCGGTGATGACGTTGGCGAATACTGTTGAACATCGTGAGTAGTGGCAATACTGCGATTCCTGTCTCACCATGAAGGCCTTCTTCTTTTTGCTCTTCCAACACTCCCAGATACCGTTAACAGATTGTGACTTGATTCGGAAGTCTGCGAGTCACGCAGCTCCAGCCGCTTGCGCCATGGTAGGAAAGCACGCGCCTGGGTTCAGGGGTTCAAGACCCACTTCTGCGGTGAGGCTGAGCCACAAGACTAAACTAAAAGGACTGGTAATATTCGTAGTCGAGATGCCGAAGGCGTTTTACAGTGGAACTATGTGAGATGATTGCAATGATCATCATTCCTCGATCCCCTGAAAACGGTTTTCCCTTAATCCATCTCGGTTCGTGTACCGCAGCGATGGCGGGCGACGGTGGTGTGGATGCCAAAATGACGCTGGCAGGTGCTTGTCGGCTTTGTGAATCAGGCTCTCAAAGTCTTGGGTTTCGTTTAGCTCCATTTCTACTCCCGAGCTTCAGCTACTTCAGCCATCGTCATTGTCATGAACTCTTCATCATTGATACCCCCACCCCAGCTTGCTTGCATAGAAGAAGGCACTGCAGGTGCAAACGTTAGAGAATTCTGAAGCTCTACAGACCCATATGCACTCGAAAGCTCCAGTGCCGGAAGTCCGATATCGATGCCAGCAGGCGCAATTTGCGACGATGCTGGCATTCTCACGCTGTCGCACTACCAGGGACTGAAGCCACCTGGTCTGCACACGGGGCCCCTGGTCGAAGCTCGAATCCCTGATCACCACTGTCGCTGAGTGCGCCTCTCTCGCCGCCCTGCACTTCTGAAGTTTCAATCTATGGAAACACGGCTGTGCATCTTCCCAACCTTCAACCTTCACGAGTGCCAGCTCGAGAAGCCACAACTGCGGGTGACAACACAAGAGGGACACAACTGTCTAGGGTTGCAAACGGCAAGTTGTCGCTGTGGGCTTCAATAGGCAGAGTTCTCGCTGTAGGGGTAGCACTTCGGCTCCCCCTTTGGATTTGGGTCTCTGTTTCTCAGATTGCAACCTTCCGACAGGAATGGGTGAAACAATGTTTTCATAGCAGCAGCCTGGTGACGAAGCATGCGGTAATGTGCGATTGCCCGTGGGTGAAGGCTCCGTCTGCCCTTACGCCCTATTCCTAAGACGTTGAGGATCATGGGACTTAGTAAGTAAGGTTATACCTTAATTGGGGTTATAAGTATAGTTACCCTAATTATAACCCTAGTTACTAAGTCCCATGATCCTTTAAGTAGGGCCTAAAAGCCGACCATGCTGCCCGAAACCCCGAGACCAACTCGAAGTCATCAGTCCCAGAGCCTTGAAACCTCGAAGGCCTTGGCATCTTCCCTGAAGTTAGGGTTTAGGGATTTAGGGATTTAGGGTTGAGGGATTTAGGGTTTAGGATTTTGGTTTAGGGTTTAGGGTTTAGGGTTTAGGGTTCAGGGTTTAGGGTTTAGGGTTTAGGGTTTAGGGTTTAGGGACTCTTCACTTTGAGTTTGAACCATTCAAACCTTAAAGCAGCATGTGCGGTCCCTTTTGGTTCGTGCAGGGCCCTTGTCTCTCGAGTAGCATAAACTCTCGTTTAACCACTAAGGCATCCTACAACTTGGAGGTTCATGGGTAGCCATAAGTCGGATTATAAGTAGGGTAACTATACTTATAACCCATATTAGGGGACTCATAACGCCACTTATAAATGCCCTGGAACCTCCAAGTAGAACACATCGACCCACGACCCTAGATCCGAAATCCTAAACCCGACATCCCAAACCCTTCATCCGAAACCCCGAACCCGTACTTGAAGGTTCATGGGTAGTTATAAGTGGGGTTGTAAGTAGGGTAACCACAATTATGGCCCATAACCCACTTATAACTACCCATGAACCCTAAACCCCTAAACCGTCAACCCTAACCCCTAAACCCCCAAACCCCTAAACCCTAAACCCCCAAACCCCCAAACCCCTAAACCCTAAACCCCCTAAAGTCCGGAACGCGCCTTTTTCCTCCAAGGCGCAGCTTCCGTGACCAAGGGGACCTCCGCGAGGGACTCGAGGGCACTCAGGGTGACGAGCCACCGACAGGCCCTGGGCTTCCTCGTTTCGGCTTCTAGGTTTGGGCTTCGGGGTTCTAGGGTTTGGGGCTTTAGGGTTTGGGGTTTTAGGGGTTTCGGGTTTAGGGTTCAGGGTTTAGGGTTTGGGGCTTAGGGGTTTAGGGTCTTTAGGGTAAACTAGGGCTGAAGGGTTCAGGGTTTGGTGTTCGCCTATAACATGATCAGTGCTGTTAGGGCAGGTCGATATGAATGTGCCAATGGTTAGGACTGGTCTAAGCTACCCATGCATCAGTACTCGACTGCGACCAGCACGATGAAGATTTTGCTCAGCGCTTGAAGTCTGGTTGCTCTGATTTCCGTTTCAAGGCCTAACTATTTTTTTGCAGTTGGTTCTACGATATACTGATTGTGACTGCAACGTGTTGCTGGTTTGATAAGTTGTTTCGTTTCATGTGGCTGTGCTCGTATGTAGTTGGTTTCGTGAGTTACACGATTCTTTCTTCTTGACCACTGCAAACCGTAAGCCCATAAGGTAAGCCCACGAGAAGGTGGAGCTGTAAATAGGCCCAGGTCTATACCGCAAAATTCCACCGTCGTCTTCAACCTTCCGGAAGCTTTTAGGGTACAGGGGTTCAAGCTTGAGTTTATTTATGTTCACCGTTACAGCTTGCACCCTTAAAGTTTGGGCCTTCGGTTTTTGCTGCGAGCTTGGAGCCATTAAATCACCA